TTTTTTAGAAATGGTGTAAAATTTTGCACAGATAAAAAATATATGCAAAATTTGCTTTTGAAATCAAGTCAAGTGTAAGCTTATAACATAAAAATCTCAACAGAGATAATTTTTTTATCTTTTCATTAATGGGTAAACAATCAATCAAAAAGTTCAAAAAATTCTTTAAAAATGTTTTTAAAACTACAATAACTTTCAAACATATTAGAATTAAAAAAAAAATTGCATTAAATTCATAAATGAAATTAAACCTTTCAGCTCGTCAAAGTTCAACTCTTGGGCGATTCCACAAAATTCAAATTTAGTTGTTGAAAATTCTTTTAATTAATAACTGAATTATTTTTTATTGCATCGAACAGATTGGACACTTTTTAACACATCTTCGTCCTTTTAACTTTCTAAGACTTACAGCTTTTGCACAGCAAAACTAAATGCAGCGTAAAGAAGAAAAAACGTAATCATGACCTTTTTTTTTAAAAAAAAATATAACCAAAAATTATTTTTTTTGACAATCAAATTTCCACTCTGTAGCTCTACATTTGCATTCCCGCGGGCTGCATGTTATTTTAAGCTTCAGGTTTAGCAGTTATTATATAAATCTCGGACTACAACGTAATATATTACATACTATACAATTACAACGTAAACACCGTGATTTCAAGTTTTTTAGAAAACAGAGGCTGAAGAAGGTCTCACAATATTTTTTAGTTTCGGTTCATTGTTGCAAAATACTTAAGCATGTTCTAAACTAGAAGTTAATTGTATATATAAAAATCAAACTTTGTATTTTATGAGTATATTTGATATCTATTGCAGCTTTCTTCCAGCTGTACATTTTTATAATAAAAACTGACGAAATGGGTTATTTTTTGTTACAACTAATTGCTTGTTTTATCTGTCAATACTCAAATATTCGAAGCAGAATCAAGAATGCAACGAATTATGATCTTCGTATTTTATTTGTGCACTGCACAAAAATTTCAAAAGTTTAGAAATGAATTTTTTTTCTTTTGATTTCTTCTGCAGCTGCTATTTAAAATAGAAGCATCAGATTGCGAATACTCTCTTTCATTGATTTATAATTCCGAAGACTTAATTGTTTTATTTTCTTTCTCAGCATTCCATCTGGAGGGGAAAATCGAGACTTGGTGCCTGTGCTCATCACAAATCAGCCTGTTTTGTCTTTACAACTATCTCAATTACACTTATAATTCGATAAACACTGTGATTTATTATGATTCTGTTTTAAGCATAATTCACAAAGCTTATAAGAACGAATTAATTTTCCTCAATATTTAATTTCAGAAACATTTCGCATGGAAATATTGGGTTTGAGTTTTTACAAATTACCATAACTTTCGTTTTTATTTTCATTTATTGTGAGGAGTAAAACATTTCTTGATTTTTACTTCTGATTGATGTGTTTCTATTAAGAGAAAACAAAACTAATTCATGTTGTTCTAAGTGTTAAATGAATTCTTCAAATGTAGGTACAGTTAGTTATTTAAGTGAAAATTTTTCCTAGATTCTTTATCTAGTTTTGACACTAGTATATTAATAAGAAAAATATATGACAATTACTGTTCATAGTTAAGTACCTTTAAAGCACGCGAATTTTTCGAACACAGTCAATTATACTCCTAATTTCTTCAGCATTTTCTAATTGCATTTTTTCACAATAACTTGGTACAGAGCACAAAATAAAAAACGGACCACCTTAAATAACTTTTGATCTAATGATTTGATCACCACGTTTTAGACTCAATGGTTCAAGAGGATGACCTCAAATATGCTAATTTGTGCAGACGATATTTTAAGTTACGAAGCACAAAAATACTTCTTTTTCGACGAATTCCGCTTTCTAACTCCCAAGATATAGGAAGTAGCCGTAATATGGGAAATATGGTTACAATAATTTGGTTAGGATACTCTTAATTTCCCTTTCTGCGTATTTCTCCGTTTCTCGAGAACTTATTAAGCAAATAAAAAAAAAATTCCTCATTATTATAAAATTTGTTATTCCAAAGAAAATTCCTCGCCAAATATAACTTTAAGTAAATTAGTATTTTTTATTATTTAATTTAATAATAGTAAAAAAAAATTATGAATTGTATGGTAATTTTTTTAAACATTATTTTAAAGAATGTAATTTTAAATAGTAAAGAGTTCTTTAAAAAGCGAATTAAAATAAAAATTGTATTTTTAAAATTTAATTTCTCAGAACTAATTCGATCTTATAGTTTCTGAGAAATCGAATTTCAATTTCGCGATTTTTTTTTTTAAAATTCGATGGTTGCACTAACATGCATTTAGCTTTCGCAAATTAATCAAATAAAAAACGAAGTAAATAAATAATTTGTTTGTTCATAAATAAATAATTTCTAAATAAAGGGTGATCTTAAATAATAAGTCAGACGTTTTACCCACCGAGTAATTTTAATTAAGCAAAATGTTCTTAAATTCTTTTCACCAAACTTGCTGTAGATTTGAGACTTGAAAAATAAACGTGACAATTATTTTTAGTGAGTGTTAATTTAAAGGAAAACTTCAAGAACGTATTAGAATAAAACGAATTAGATTAATATGGCGAAAAAAATCTACTTAGTAGCATAAAAAATTATAATTTTAAAAATATATGAAATAATTGTCTGAATAGTTCTGTGAATCACACGTGGCCGGGTAATTCAATTTTAAAATTATGACTTTAAGGCTATATATCAGGTGCAGAGATATTTTAAAACGCGTAAAAAATTATTATTCTAGCTTATTTTGGCCATGTACTCGACAGCTCTGTATGTTTGGCATCTCTACTTAGTGACTTAAAACATCCGCACTATTTCAGGTAATCATATTTGTTGTCATGTTTGATTCAAGAAAATATAACGAAATCATTTATGAAACTTATATCTTCATTTAAGTAGCTGTTGCATAATAATTATTAAATATGTATTGAAGAAATTGATTAATCTCTTTCAGGCATTCTAAAAATTTTCAGGGATTTCTTTCTACTTTTTTAAATTAATTTTTGTTTTTGCTTAAAAGACTCGATTAAAGCTATAAAAATTACTACTCCCTACAATCTTGTATTTAATTATAAAAAATTGTAAAGTAAATTTGATTTTAGTAGGAAATCCTCATGAAAATGAATTAAAAACAACGTAAAAAACAATGTTCAAAAATGAATTAATGTGTTCAAATTTTAAAATTTTGGAAAATCATGAATAATTTTTTAATTAATTAAAAAAAATTATTTCAAAAGAGAATAAAAAGAAAACATTCTTTCCTTTTCTGACAGAAATCAGCCTCAAAAAATTTCAGTTTTCCAGTAACGTTGAGGTATTTTTCAATTAAATATTAATATAAATCCAGTTGGCACACGAAAAAGAGGCAGGCGATTTTGAGATTGATAGAAGGCCTATAAAAAGACCTTTTGGTCTTAAAAGCAAAAAATTGGAGAACACTAGCAAAAAAAAAAAGGTTAGCCAGGAAAAAACTTATTGAGAAGGCCAAAGCCCTCCCTGGTCTGTCGAGCCATTGATGATGATTTATATAAATAAGCCTTTCCGATTGATTTCTAAACTGTCATAAAACAATGAAATGTTTTAATTCAAAATTTGTCTAATTTTTATTTTATTCCTTTTTACTGTCTCACCTTGGTTGCTTTCTTGAATTATTATTATTAGCCTTGTAGAAGCCTATTATTAGCCTTGTAGTTTTGTACCCAATCCAGAAGACAAATCTTGGATCAAGTATTAGGAGAAATTTACCATCGTGGAGGACTTTTTTTATGGAACTAACCTGCATATGCGTTAAAGGGATTGAAAGACCACGAAAACATCCCTGGGTTAAACTGACAGAAAGGTTACTCTAACCCGGGACTCGTCTATCAGTGAGTGTGGAATTCGTATCGACCAGCTTTCACTGAGATTCGAAAACGGGTCACCTCATTGTGAGACGAGCACTCTATTTCCTGAGCCACCACGACCCTTTTTGAATTTGGAAGTTTTACAGCAGCCTAGGCCATTAGGCCCATACGCCAAATACAATGGAATACATTAAAAAAAGGTCAACATACCCTTATATATAAGATACAAAAAATATACCTAGAAGAATCGGGATGGCAACAGGCCATTTACATAAATTAACATAGTAATAAAATGTTTAAAAATATCAGGTCAACAGACCCTTATATGGCAGGTCAACAGACCCTTATAGCCTTAAAAAATTGTCCTATTTTACATAGCATTTTGCCTTTGGCAAGGATAGTGACAGTTAGAGGAAGGAATAAAATAATACATACCCTGAGCACCAGTATAGCTGGGGTAAAAGTAACAAAGAGACATTGCTCGACAGGGTTCTACAAATGCGACAACTATCAAGCAAAGGCGACACCAGAGTGATTAAACATTGAAAAAGTTGACGAGCTGGAGACAAAAGTACAACAAAAAAAAAACTTACAGTAGCACAATGTGAAAAAAAACCCACCACCAATGTTTAAAATTTGGAATTAAAATCATTCAACTTATCATTAGCCAAAAGGGCAAGGGTAAAACCATTAGTCAGACCAGCTGACATAATATGTAAAACCAATTTTAAAAAATGGTAAAGCATTTAAAATCTGCAACAGGATAAAAGTAAACACGCTCCGAAGGCAAAAACGCCCAGGGGTGCCGAAGAACAGTATAAAATCTGAGGTACATGACTTAAAAGACATTACAATAAAACAGGAGTAAAAAAAAGTAAAAATACAGTTTAAAACAAATTAAACCTGTAAACATGACAAAGCAGACTAAAAACAAGACAGTTATAATAAGATGGTAAAGTAGTAAAATGGAAAAAGGGTAAAATGGTAAAGTTGGTAAAAATGGGTAAGTGGTCCAGATAAAAGGGAGTTTGGCAAGGCGACAATCAATAACAAGATTAAAAGACATTAAAAGTTGTTATTATTATTTTGGACCAACACCTCCTCGAGCGTTGTTTTAATAATTTGTTTAATGATATTACGGCAAATGATACTGGCAAAAATTTGATGCTCGTTCTTCTCGAGGAAGTGTTGTTGTCGGAGTGCTCGGAACCGAGAACAGTGATATAGAAGATGTTCTACTGTTTGGGGGTTGATCGCAATTGTTACATTTATCATCCTTATTGAAAAACTTCCTTTGGTAGGTCCCAAACACTCCGTGTCCCGTCAGGTATTGATTTAAGTAGAAATTTGATTGAATTCTTGTAGTTGACGGGGTCTTAATAAACTTAAAAGTCTGCCGGCCCTTAACAGAATTGTACCAATTGTACTGCCACCTTGCCATTAGAATCCGCTTGATTTCGGTCTTTGCTTGCCTAGGGATCCTCAGAACTTGGAGATCTATAATATCGGAGCCAATGGCCTCCTTAGCTGCTTCGTCGGCCTCCTCATTGCCCTGGATCCCCACGTGGGCTTTAACCCAATTCATTGTAATACCTCTGTGCCAATATGTTTTAATATTTTCAATCAGTTTTGAAATTGGTTCTGGGTCAGCCAGGACCTGGAGGGAGGACAACGAGTCTGAAAAAATGGTAGCGTTATTGATATTATTATCATTGATCCAGATAAAGGCGGATCTGATTGCCTCTGCGATAAAGATATTAGTATTGTCTGTGACTCTGGTGGAGGATTTAAAAATAGTAATACCATCCTGTTTAACAATCATTGCATGTGACGCATGGAAAATTCCAGGTGTGTCTACCTCCATCCGAGAGCCATCAGTATAGATCTCCTGGTTACTAGGGGAACAATATCCCCAGGGCAAGGAGCGATAAAGAGATGGGTGCTCCCGGGGCGGCGTATCAAAATTCAAGGTGTTGTCGAAATCGGGAGGTAGTACATGCATTAGATCTTGTAATCGCCATCCCCATCTCACCCTCTTGGTATAAACATCCTCTATAACTTTAAGTGTTATTGGAACCACCCCCGCCAGTATCTGGATAGCCTCAGTACTGGTAGTAGCGTAGGTTTTAGTATGCAAGTCATATAATTCGCACTCAGCAGCTAACTCTTTGCGGATTTCTTGAAAGTAAACATAAAATTTTGTTGAGGGAGGAAATTTTTTTTAAAGGTAATAATTAAAGATAAAGTTTCATGCGCCTACAATGAATTAAGAAATTAAAGTGATTTTTCAAGTCTTCCATTATAAAAACAATTAATGTAATTTTTCAATAATTTTGACGTCAATTTTAAATTTACCGTTAGAGATGATATAAAATTTATATTAGTTGTTGTCATAATGGACTAAAATTATTTTTTCTTCTTGGATCACATAATATGCAGAAAATGTTAAAAAATAATT